ATCCTTGGAACACTTGTTTTTCACTTGTAACAGATCCATCAATTGCTGGAAGCTTAGTCCTCTCCAATGGGATGGCCTGTTATGCTGCACTGACTCCTTTAAGACATGGTGGTATCACATTTGCTCACTGGATAAATCTGAAGTTGCTGAAGCTCGAATCCAACTCACCACTTACATGCTTTGCCTCACCAACCAGTTATTCCATTGAGTGCCTTCATCATGCAGTAAGTCTTTAACCCAGATCAAGTGATCTCTAGCAATAGGAATGAGAGAGTGGTTGGGTCTACTATGATTAGGAATCCAGTTCAGATCAGATATTCTGGTGTTCTTGCCATTTCTAATTTCAATTTTTAACCATTTAGCAAAGAAAGGTATATTGTGCATCCAGCAGTTCCACATCCACGATCCACTGGGATTTCTAGAGGCATTAACCAGAGAAGAGTTAGGGTAGTACCTGTCCTTGAGGATTCTGCTTACTAGAATAATTAGTTTGAATTTAACTCACCAAAATTTTGAAAATTTTGTTAAAGAAAAAGAAATTGAGTTGAATCATATTTTTTTCCCTATAGAATGAAGCTTAATTGAGTTGAATCATATTTTTTTCCCTAAATAATTATAATTGAATTGGTTTCAAAATATCTTGAAAGTTATAAATCATTTGGTTTTATTATAAATAAATTTATTTACGAAAAATAATTTTTAGCTATTTTTAAAAAATATCTCCAAAAAAAATTTGAATCACACATCTGAAATGAGGTAGCCAATATTGTTTAGATAATATCATACCATAATGATAAGGTTTGTTTAAATTGGTAGGTGTAATTGAAAGAGATAAACATAATTGATTTACTACCCAGCATGTTTATAGGTTATACACAATTCTATTAATGTTATTGATACTAATTGCAAGAGATAAGATTTTTGTTTTTTTTTTTCTTTCTAAAATGTCCATAACTAATTTAATTTAATAAATTAGTTATGAATCGATTGTTATGTGATATCTGGTATGTAAAGACCCTCGACCGGCTCGAGTCGATCTGTTCTGTCTCCCTCGCTGATGGATAGCCTTCAGAACCTACAAAAACTTGACACTTGAGGATTTTCCGGTGAAAAGTCTCTGATGCTGGAGTTAGAGATGTGATTAGGACAATGAACAATATGTTCTTAAAAATAGAGTGTGTAATGTAACAGTGTCATGCCTCACTCCCTTATATATGGAGATTATATCTTGTTGCCCAAGATTGCGCCGAGTGGGCTACTAAACTGCCCGTTCGTATTACCTGAATTGCCCAATTCTGTTAGGCCACGTGACCCTATCCACGTGTAGATCTTATTCTAATAATATTCCTTCTTATCCTTTAGTCTTCCTTATTAGACAGTTTAGTCGTGCGACCAACCCCAATTACCTCGGGGTATAATACCCACAATGTTGAGCTCCTATGGTATGCTCATCTAGTCGATCCTATGACCAGTTGTACCTCTAGGTCGAGCTTCAGCCAGGTTGTCCGAGGGCTCTATATCGACCTGTCGGTGCTCCTTGGATTATCGATGTCCCCATCAACCTGTGGATTCTTCGACATGCAATGCCTTCGATCTCTGTTTGACCTGCCGGTTCAACCAATACGACCATGCTGCTTCTCAAGTCTAGTTGACCCTATATATTATCTTGTATCAATGTCAATTGATTTGAATTTAATAAACCAAAATATCGACAAATTTTGTTACGGAATAGAAAAAGATCAACAATTTTTTGAAAACTTCATATTGCTTACAAATTCCGAATATAATTGAAATTAAGCACTTTGAAAATGTATCAGGATTTGCTTTCAAAAGTTCTTTTGTTTCTAAATGATGTTGATTTTGAAATTATACCATATTTTAATGATAAATTTTGTTTAAAGTAATGATAGGATTTGCATTGAACTAGCCAAAATCTTTCCAAAATTTTGGTTAAGAAAATGATATAAAAATCCACAAAAAATTGGTACATTCAAATTTTAAAAATTGCACACGGTTTTCCATATAAAAGTTGAACAAGTTTATTAAATTGATTTAATTTATTTTTTTTATAAATAATTAAACAAGGATTGACATCAAATATTAAACATCAAACCCAGAACCAATTTTGTTATAAAAAATGTGGATACATAGCTGATTTTAGTTACAAAAATATGTGGATACGATTTTGATAGTATATTTCATTCAGATCTCAATTGTTTTAAAATAAAAGATGCAAATATTTTTTTTTTATTTTTTATATATTAGTAAGTCAATCATTTATTTATTTTTTGTTCAAATTATTAAAAAATTCCCAATAACCTTTTTAACTATAGATTATTAATATATAAATATTTTAAAAAATTGTGGGGTTGGGCTGGGAGGGGTTCAAGATACAGACCTGATCTGCTAAGCTAACAGGTTGGACGTGGTCTGACCAGTTTTAAATTGATGCAGGTTTGATCTGCCTCGAATGTTACAGTTTTTGCCATCTCTGATTATGCACGGGACACTGAAGATAAATTGGCTTAGTGAATATTGATTGATTTAAAAATAATATGTAAAAGTAGTTTTTTTATTTATCTTTTAACTTTGTTATCATCATATATATTTTAAAGTTTAATTTATATATATATATATTTCATTATTATAAAAAAGTTTTATTCTAGAATTTGCAATTCATAATTATCTAGTACTAGTACAACATCGTTTATTATAAGAAACATATTGTAAAACTTTATACTTAGTTTTAAAAAGAGATATTGTATTTAATTGATGTTATGTTGCATCAATTGGGTGGATTATTTATTTAAAAAAAAATTAGACAAAAATAAAAAAAATAAAGTATGGATAAAAATCAAACACACGTATTCTCGGAATACGTTTTACTAATTAAAATTAATTAGAGAAAAACGTATTCCGAGAATACGTTTTTATTTTTTTTCTAAATAAAATAATAAACACAAAATTCCTTTAATAATCAAAAATAAAAAAATAATAATAAATATAAAACGTATTATTGTAATACGTTTTCAGGAAAACGTATTTCGACAATACGTTTTTTAAAACCGAAAAACGTTTTTAAAAATACGATTTGTATTTTTCTATTTTTAAATAAATACGTTTTTAAAGTGTCGGTAACCGTATTCTCGGAATACATTTTTTGAATTAAATATATAAAAAAAATTCTTCCATTTCATTTGCGCAAGAGCAGAGAGCAGAGAGCAAAAGAAAAGAAAGAGAAGCGAAAACAATCGGAAAAAAAACTCGATCCAATTTTCACCCCGGCGTGAACCGACAACAACGACACGAGACTCCTTTCCTGTTAATTCATTCGCACGAGGTATATTGGCTTATCTTAACTTTTTACAATGTTTGGAGTTGTTTGGAGATTGAGAATTATTATAATATGTTTGAATGTGTTAGTGTTTGAAGATTGTAAATTACTAATTGATTATCGATTATGTATGTATGTTA